GGTTGGTGGGTGGTGAGCAATTGTACTGTGCATCACTTGCTTTGTGTATTATTATTATCATCATCATATTATTATTATTATTATCATTTTATTTCAATTATTGAACTGTTTTTATCTCAACCCATGAGTTTTTCTCACTTGTGCTTTTCCAATTCTCTCCCCCATCCCACCGGGTAGGAGGGGAGTGAGCGAGCGGCTGCGTGGTGCCTAGCTGCCGACTGAGGTTAAACCACGACAGGGACCATGGGAGTTTCAGCCTTTTCCTCATTCAAATCTATACACTGATTCCCGTTGCCGTACCCAAACAACTTTGGGGAGCCCAAATGCGTTTACCGAAGTAGCAGGAGTGCTATGGGAGCCTGAGTCTGTCACTGCCTCACTCGATGGCTTCTTCACATGACAGGTCATATCTGAAGAGCTGGACAGGTGACAAGGGAAGGTAGGATCATGCTGGCCTGGAATTCCCAGTCAAAATAATGCTGTAATGGAGGCGGGGGGAGTCCCACAAAATCAAAATGGTCAGCAAGCAAGACTGGAGGTTGCCAGAGTTCATTTGGTTTTCCCTATTGGAAACTTTCAGCTTTAAGTCTGTTGGCAATTAATCTGTGTCTTTCCATTCCAGTTGTAGGTCATGGGAACAGAAATGCAGTTATTTGTGTCCTTGTCTCCCTTTTTCTTTCCTGAGGGACTGACTCATGGGAAACGTATTTTTGCAAGGACCTCCAGCCCTAGCAGGAGAATCAAAGTAGGAGGTGACTCTCAAACTGCCACTGCTGTGAGCCACTCCACCTTCTTGGTGGGACACAGATTAATGCTGAAGCAAAAGCAGATAAAATAAAACATTATGATATCTGAGCTTATACCTGAGTTCAGGATACCTGAACAGGAAAGCGTTCATCCTTGTATACAAAGGATGGAAGGTTCAAATTAAGCCTAACCTTGGCATGAGTTGCAGAGGATCAGACTGGCTGATCCCTTCTGGCGTGAGGATTTGTGAGTCTGCATGGAAGCCAACAGGTGTCTTTGCAGTGACTCCAACAGGGCTTGGAGTGAGCTCCAAGTGGGCAGATGTCCATTTTCAGTAAGAATCACATCAAAACTCCTGGCAAAGTGACAGTGTTGGCCAGGAGTGGCCAAAACCTGAGCTGGCTACTGCACTCCCAGTACGTTTTTTCAAGCTGGACCAGTCAGAAAACACACCATCCTGCAAAACATGTTATTGCTCTGCCTTTTTCATTCAAATTTGAATTAAAAAATAAACCCCCAAATTAATATAACAGACCATTAGATTTGGTCGGTCAGGTTGATACGTTCTAGTAAATTAGAAACCCTTTGGTTTATTTTCATCATTTTGTTTTGCAAGGATTAACATGGCAGTTTCTCCAGCAAATAAAAAGGTCTTGCAACTGATGGAAGCCATGGGACTGGAAAGGACCCTCTAGCTCTTGTCAAAATATTTGCCATAATTTGTCATTTCGGTCAGATAAACCAAACAAACAAAATACCAAGGATTCTGGGTTAGGGGTGGCAGTTCACAATTATCAACAACAAAACTTTGTCCTTTTCTCCTGTTTAATTTAATTTGGATTGAAGATTTGCTGGTGAGGGGGTGTGTATGTAATTTCAGTGCCATGGTGAATTAGGGCCCTTTCAGGTGGACTTGCTGTACGGCAGTAAACAAGACATACCCTAAAAATAGAAAACATGGTTATAAGTGACAAAAATTGGCAGGGAGGACTTGGTTAGATGCAGTTTTGGAACTGCTTTTAATTCTTTTCAACTCAATTCCAAGTTAAACATCCCTTTAAATTAATTACAGCAATCACAGTATCCCTAGAATATCAGTGGAGAAACTGAAGCCATGAGTATAATTTTAATATTTCCTAAATTCTGAAGAGAGGATAAAAAAGCCATCTTAAGGAAATTTTTGTGTACGATGAAAATCAAATTCCTGACCAAACTGGCTAAGCTGAAATGTCTGAAAGCAAAGAACTATCATGAAAGTGCTGGAAAGCTTCTGATTATAATGGAATCAGTGTCCCAGGGTATAATGCAGCTCTACATTTAATATTGAGCTACTGAACTGTACTTCTCAACCTAGCTCAACTCACTGGGTTCTCATCAAAGTCCTGTAATGACACTGTGCTCTGTTTAGATGCCAAGCAAGTCTTGAAATAGCTCCAGCAGCTTCAGCTGAGCTGTTCCAGCAGCTTCAGCTGAGTACAGGCGTTTGACTTTAGAAGGAGAGCTAGTGCCTAGACTTTGTGGCATATAAATCCTTCCTTATGTATACTGCCACACTTGCTAATAACTTTACGAACTTTTATAAACCTAATTAAAAGGCTTTTGCACACTTACGTATGAAATCATAGCAACAGCGCTGAACCAGCAGAGCAAAAGCCTGTCCTTTGTGCTGCAAATCCATGTTGCCTTTCTTTATTAATGATACATACACAACACATTTAATTCAAAGCCTGCTATTGTTTGCCTGTTTGTTTTTATTACGATATTGACTGGAGTCCCCATCATGTTAGTTATAATCTGTGCACGTTACTCTAAGCAGAATTTTTCTTTCTGTGTATTGTTTAAGGTATTGATGTTGCCAGAGGGAAGAAAAAAGTGCATGCATCCACTTAGGCACACAAGTAGTTATATCAATTTCTGTCCATTAAATATACATACACACATAAATATATGTGTATACAGTGGTTGCAGCCTGTTGCGGACATGGAATTAGGTGAGATTTGAAAACCGTATTTGAGAGGTCCTGTTTCTGGAAGCAGCTCTGGGCAGGAGCATCCCTCAGCCTGTGCGAAGTCCTGCTGAGGATGGTGGGGCTCTATGTGAGTGTTGAAATGACACTTTTCAAAGGCGTTTGCAGATTTCTAGGCCATTTATTTAAATTGCTTAGAATGAATTTTGTTTTCTAAAAAAGCATACTTTTAAATCTTCTTTTCTTTCTAAAAACATCTTAGTTTTGTTAATCTTTTGGACTTCGAAAAGCTGTTTCTAGTTACTGAGTTTTGGGGTGTTTTTTCCCTTTACAACCCAGGCAATCAATTCCTGAGTTATAAGCAAGGGGGTTATTGAGTAGTTCATCTAAACCAAACAAAGATTTCAGCCAACCCAAAGATGCAGCAATGATTTTGCTAAAGATTTTGATACCAGTTTTGATCAAAGTTTGGGATATCTAGCATGTATGGTTCCAGCACTTCCAAATGAAACTTGAAGTGGAATCTTTGTAAATGTTCAGTGATTGATTTCATTTAGAAGTACAAAAATGGGTGTTAATACATATGTGCTTTGTCTTTATTTACTTTTCCAAACCTGCCCCCCATTTCTACCATCCGTTCCTGTTTGATGGTGAGCTCTTCCAGAGGTGTGTCTCTTACCCCATGTTGTGTCCCTTCAGTCTCACCCTGGAATATCCTGTACCACAGAGTTACTTGCAGGCAGACAGTCTTATCTGAACTGTGGCGTTGCCCCAGTGGATTCTGCTCATGGCCTGCAGAGGCCTTTGACCTGCTTTGAGTTGTGTGAAGTCATCCTTTCGTGCATCTTTAATACTTACTGTGAATTTGTGCTCAGGTTTAATAAAACTGAAAAGAATGTCTACCTCTTTATTTTCTAGTTTTCCAACCAGTATCTCTAATAAACTCAGTTAAACTGAAACAGAAATGTGGTTAAAATCAGTAAGTTGAAACAGAATTTGTTTTCCAAAGTTGTTGAGTTTTTTTCTTGGGTACCAGCATCTCATACTAAAGCATCCACTGTATGAGAAATTCAGAACAATTTAAAATGGACCATTTCTAATGTGTTTGTTTAATTTTTGTCTTTCAGTCTATCCGAGAAGTCACAGGGTATGTTTTGGTGGCTTTGAATCAATTTGAGTACCTGCCATTGGAGAACCTGCGCATTGTTCGTGGGACCAAACTCTATGAAGAGCGATATGCTTTGGCAATATTTCTTAACTACAGAAAGGATGGTAACTTTGGACTCAGGGAACTTGGCTTGAAGAACTTGACGGGTAAGTGGAACTTGCAAATGTGGTGGATTAGTCGCAAGAAGAAAAATGAACTTGTTGAATATTTGCCCCAGTGCCCTCAATCACTTGCGTTCTGCAAATAACAGAAGTACCACGAGAGGCTGGCAGTTGTACATTGTTTGAGACGCTCGTTGGTACTTAATTTCATTCCTTTTTTGGTTCACAACTGTACTTTTCTCAGTACTGATCAAAGGCTGTGTATGGAATTCATGCCAAGAGCATATTCGAAACAAAAATAGTTGTTGAAAGAGTAGATGAACTTTTTTCTTAGTTTCGAGAACATGAGCATGTTCGTTTCCTTGTGATCCTTGGTTATTGCATGTATGTTGCTTCAGGTGTTACATGTTTTCTGCCATGTTAGCTTAGCTTTAGCATCCCCCCTGCCTCTGCTTTTGCTGCTCTGTGTCACCATTGCTGCTGCACTGGAGGGGGTGGGGGCAGAGAAGGGGATGGGAGGGGGAGACTGTATCTTTGGTGTATTTAATTTTAGAACTTCCTTTTCTAAGCAAAAACAATGTATTATATATAGTGAGAAAAGTGCTTATTTTCTTGAGACAAAATGTAAGCCAAGTCCATGGTTTTACGTTCATCTGTAAATTCAGGGCTGGATCACAATGTGGGTAGATCAACATTTCATTTCTCCCAGCTGAGAATCGACAGTCAGTGGTTTGGGAGATTAAAAACTGGCTAAATATCACTGGACTGTAACTTAATAAAGTGCTGGCAGTGGCAAACTCTTTTTAGGGAGTTCACTGGTAGTATTTTATTTATATCTGGTTTCTCATCAGCTATGATCATTTCTACCCTAAGCTTTGGTGATTGTGGAATGGCCTTATTTCTGCTAGTGGCTAAACGCTGACTGAAAAATCACTGACCTGAGCTGAATGAGGAGTTTGAACCTGAGTACAGAGAGATGGGAGCCTTCTGAACTATATTTAGGCACCCTTCACTCTCTGCTTTGTTCGTGTCACAGTATTCAGTGGCACACAAGTGCTTACAGTTCCCTGTTGTTCAAGCCTCGCCATGCTGTACAGCTAAGCTTTCAAAAACAGGAGGGAAAAGGAGGCTTGAAATATTTTACAAAATAAAACAGTTTTGGCTGACTCTTTCTGATCCTGCTCTTTCTTCTGGTCATATTTTTAACAATTTTCTTTACTGAGACCATCATGCTGATATCAGAGTGCTTCCCAAGGTCTCTAAATCCCTGCCATCTACTACTCTTCTCTCTATCACTGTCATAATCCAATTTCCTCCTCTTCTGTTCCCACATATCTTCCCATCTTTCTGATTTAGGGTGTTCATTGTGACTGTCTATACCTTCACATAATACAGAGCCATAGCATTGGGTAATAATAGTAGTATCTGTTTCTTCGTATATTTTTTCTTGTCTGTGGTCTCGAAATGCTTTGTAAAAGACATTAGGCTGGGTGAAACTGAGACAGAGAGGTGAGGTGAGGCAAAGGCCAGAGGAGGACTGGAACCTTTCCTCTTGAGTCTGAGGCTGTTGTTCTGCCAGGAAGTGAGGGTTGTATTTTCAGTGCTTATTTAGCCATGGCTTTGCTGTGCAGTAAGGTAAAAAAACCTTATCGTGTAGGCTCCGGCTCAAGATTTTCTTCTTTTACCAGCTGCCCTGCGCCAATAGGCAGTTCATCTGACTCCAGAGATTCTTGCTGGAAGCTGCTTTTACGTGATACGCATAGCACCAAAACCGCCCAGCGAATAGCTTGACTTTCTTTTCAAGTGTCGTAAGAAAACCTGCCTTAGCTCAGCCTCTGAATCTTTCCTAACATGAGATCATCACAGCCACTTCATCTGATTTAGGTGTTTACAAAGCCCTCTGATGGCATTATTTGGCTCAAAATGTATTGTTGTCTCTTGGAAGACAAGTGCCCTAATAACACTAGCTTTTCTCCTCTGAGCACTTAAAATAGCTTCTGGGTGCTGGATATGAGCCAGTGCGTGCTTCAAAATACTCTCAATATTTTCTAGATAGCGTGTGCCAGGGCCTTATGAGTCTCTTCAGCAGCTGTTCTTTGACCATTTTGTATACTGGTTAAGATGCACCTGGCTATTTTAACCCACAACCTGCTTCTTGTTGCAAATGCTCTCCCTGGAGCATATTAATACTTAATTTATTTTCCTAACACATCCTTAGCATTAGTAGCTGCATAAAAATAACTGGTGGATGTGGAAGTTGGTGATGTTGCAAGGCTCTGATATATCAGATGTGTCTGGACCTATCCTGTGTCTACCAATTGCTCCATGTTTACATGAGAAACGACGAGAGATTTGTTATTAAATTTAAGATGAAGCAGCCCCTGTAAGCTTGCATCCTTCAAGCTTCTAGTCCACTGCAGATTTCGAGAGATTGGCTTTGAATGGTGAATCTCTTCCGCTTGAGTAAAAGATAAGCATAACTCTTGCCCTGCATGTGAAGAACTGTCTTTCCAGGGCTTATGCCTTGTTCACAGAAGTTTAGGAAGTTCTGTTCTTATTTGTGCAGTGTCTGGATGATGGGATCCTGAGGGTATTTCTGCCCAGTACTGCACAATATGCAAATATAAACACTACTCCCTGTGTTAAACAAATGAAGAAGCTGCTCTCACCTGCAGATTATCCTCAGACATAACCAGAGACAGGGTTTCAGCCTCCTGTGCAGTACCGATGCATTATTTTCAGTGTGTTGTTAACAGCTGTGTTTTTATTATCAGATATGTCTATCAGGTTTTCATATTTAAATGTAACTTCAAATACTTGAATTTCCTCCCTTACACTATGAAAAAAATAACAGCTATGAAGGCAAAAAACATGATCCAGTTCTCACTCATGATGTCTGTCAACCCAAAAGGGAGTTTTGTTTGCGTAGCGCAGGCCAGGACCACGTCCTAAAATTCCTATGACACTTGCAAAAAATCTTACCTGTAAAAATCCTTTTCTCAATTGTTATAAAAACTTAGTCAATGGTTCCACAAAAGTGTCAAAAACAAACAGACATTGAACTAATGATGTGGCTGCTGCCATCTCAGCTGGACTCATCTGAGCTTGCAGATTCAGCTGGCAAGTAGCCTTAAAGTAAAAAGGAAGTTTTGACATACTGAACGTGTTATTCACTCCGAGATTAGCAGAATAACCAGTGCTGAGGGAGAAGGTACACCACCTTCTTCCATTCATTGCCTGCGAGCTAGTGTAAATCGTTCCTGTCTTCCCCAGGTAGCTAGGCAGTCAACCTTAACTTATCCAATGAAAGGGCATAATCATTGTTCATACTTTGAGTACTCCAAATATAGAGAATACCTGATGGCTGCGTTTCATTACGGCATTTATCTTCATGACTGGGGAAGGAGCGATAACTCACAAGTGCCAAAACCACTTATGAAGTTTCCCATATTTTCCTCTGAGTAAAGATGAGTAAGAGAGATCTACAGTGTATGATGTATCTTTGACTGAGCAGTGATAACCTCATCTCCCCTGTTGGCCTTGGGGACAGAGGCTCCCGTGCATGTGGCTGTGCAACCATGGAATTCCTTCAATATATTAGAGTAAAACGGACTTAGCAGTGATTAGTTCAGTAACACAAAAAAGCAGCAAAATATGTAGTTTCTTATCTGCTTGTTTTGCAGG